TTTAAAAAAACTTCCTGAGCAGAAAAAAAACACAATTTAATCATACAAGCAAAGCTTAATTTAGCTTATTTTTACAAGGCTAACTTGACCTTGTTGTGCCTCTGAAAATCATGAGGAAAACTTGAACTTTTCTCCAAGGTTGATGTGAGGTAACCACTGATCAACCCGTCATTTAAGAAAATTCTAACATCAGAATCAATCACTGTGAAGAATGAAGTCACTGCTTTCTCACTGTGTAAGCTGCCTTATAACAGCGTGCTCCTGAGCCTCATGCCATGTTTTGGTTTGAATGCTCCCGGTTTGCAAACTGTCTTTTGGTGTGTGCATGGTAAATTTTTACGATTATTCTTTGATTTTGTTTTTGTTTCTTTTTCATATTTTTTTTATTGATTTTTAGAGAGAGAGGAAGAAGAGGGACAATGAAAGATAAACATTGATGTGAGAGCAGAACATGGATTGGTCGCCTTCTGCAGGCCCCCTACCTGGGATCAAAGCCCCAACCTGGGCATATGCCCTGACTGGGAATCAAACCAGCAACCTTTTGATAATGGAATGATGCCCAACCGACTGAGCCACACGGGCCAGGGCTGATTCATTGGCTTTACTTTGGCTATTTATGAATCTTTAACAAAGGCTCATTCTTCCCTCTGAATTAAAGAAAACACAGTTTTGTTTTAAAAATACTGGGACATAGAGGGGTTTGTCAATTTAAGAATACATTTTCCTGCACTGGGGTTGCAGGTTCGATCCTTGGTTGGGGGGCACATAAAGGAATAAACTGGCAGGAATCAACCAGTGAATTCATGGATCAGTGGAACAGCAAATCAATGTCTCTCTCTTGCTATCAAATCAATAAATGAAAACTTTTTTAAAAAGAATACATTTTGCTGATTCACAGCTGTGAGGTTGTTTCTACCTTTACTTAATTTTTCATAAGCACTGATTTTATCCAGCAGGCTCCGGTTGATTTGTCCACAGATTCTTTTTAGGGTGTCCAAATTTTTTTCCCCAAGGATAAGTCTCTTCTCCATCTCCATAAAAATATCAAGCAAGCTCTAGAGGGAGGAGAAATAAAGTTGGAAGACGGAATTCGGCCATATTGGCTTTTAGATTAGATTTTTGTTTTTACTTGCACTTTCTCCAACCCAAGGGACCACCCTAGTTTCCCAAGCAGACTCTCCTGAGAGGACATCCTGGTCTTTCAAAGCCAATATACTTCTAGGAGGCACTTTTGTGTTTTCTGGCCCAGAAATAGAGAAGACAGAGGAGACACCACATCAGTCCCCAGGACCCAGGCCCTGTGCTAAAACCACCCATGACACTTTCATGTGAAACAGGCAGAGGTGCACGCTGAGACAGTCATGGCACCCATGGTGACAGCCCTGGGAACTGCCTCACACCCAACATTTCCTCTGGCGTTACACACACACACACACACACACACACACACACACACCAACCACACACACATACCACACCAGACACACAAAACCACACCAGACACACACACCAAAAAAACCCTGCAACACACCACAGATACACAGATATGCACACACCCAGAAACACCCCCCACCCCCCCCCCCACACACACACACACATCACACACACAGACACAGAAAACCGCACCAGACACAGACACCTGTCTCTCCTGGCTCTGCAGAGTCCCACAACCCCCTTCTCTCCTCCCGACACAGCCTGGCTCCTGGTAATGAACGTGAGCAGCACTTCACAGCACACGAAGGGATCACATCTACAACCTTCATGCCTGACAGCTTTCTTCTTCAACCCAGGCTAAAAAATGAGAATTCGGAGTGCTTTTATCCGAGTAGCCCTCCCTTCAGTCTCAGCAATCCCCACTGGCTGACTCTTCCCTCAGGACTGAATCTTGGCATGACACCAGGTCTTACCATGCTATCCGCCAGTTTACATCTGGAGAGCTCCCGGTTCAAAAAAAACTTAAAGTCCTTCAATTCCGGTGCAGTTACATCTTCTGAAATCTGGAAAAGCATGACCCTGTGGTGGGAAATGGAGACACTTGAGAAATGCTTTTTTAAATAATTTCCCAGGTGATACATGGCGTCACTGCAGACTCGATTCCGATGGCCTCCCTTCAAAATAAAGCCAGCTCATCGCATGGTGTAGGAGTTGAGTTCTTAGGGAGAGGCTGGTGTAGTGACACAAAACTACTGACTCATGCCCAACTATCCAGCTTTAAAGAATTCAAATGAACTGTCCTTCAGTTCAGCTCCACGAATTGTGGTTTTCTGTTGTCTTCACTATAACGTCAAGATCTTGTTGCCACAAGAAAGTTTTGATTTTGGGAAGTATGTTTCTCAAAATGCAAATCCGGATCCTCACTTCATAAACTTGTCAGTGTTCTCCCAGCGTTACCTC